GGGTGGGGTGGGGTGGGGTGGGGTGGGGTGGGGTGGGGTGGGGTGGGGTGGGGTGGGGTGGGGTGGGGTGGGGTGGGGTGGGGTGGGGTGGGGTGGGGTGGGGTGGGGTGGGGTGGGGTGGGGTGGGGTGGGGTGGTCAGGCAGGTCCCTCCGACATGTGCGATATCCTCACAGTACACACACACACACACACATACGCACACGCACCTGCTCCGATCCCGGGTGACTGGAGAGGTGGTATTGTTGTAATGTCCCGTGTCACGATCGTCCTCATCACTCTCGTACCCGCCCTCCGTCCACTTCCAGCCAAAGTCCCTATCATCATGACATGGTCACGCGCGACGGGGGTAAGGGGGCGGGGAAGGGGGCCGAGGATCATGTATGTGTATTGCTGTGTGCGTGTGTGCACATCCATTGCGCGTGCGTGTATGTGCGTATGTGTGTATGTCGGCGGCACGCATAAAAAGCAAAGAAAACACACCCCTATATAATCATTCCTCTATCCCACCCTTTTCCCAATATTCCCCCCTCCCCCCTCCCCCCCCAAAAAAACACACCCACCGGAAGTCGTCACGGGAAGCCCACCGCACCTCCCACCTCCGACCGTCCATTCGGACCCCGTGGGCCTTACGATACGCGTAGTCAGCGTCGCTGTGGAGACAGGAGGGGTAGGGAGATGGAGAAGGGAGAAGGGAGGGTGTGTGTACGTATATTTGTTAAGGAGTTGTGTTTGTGTGTGGCGGGGTTCCTCAATCTCTCTTACCCTCTGTCGCAGCGGGGCCAACCCGTATTTCTAAACAAGCACGTGCCGTACCTGGTCCTCCGAAACTCCACCAGTGCCGTACGTTTACGATCATCTTTGGCGGCCTGCGCGGGGCATATGGGTTGGGGGAACTTACGACAGTTCCCCTTTTGGGCGGGGCCACAGGTTGGGGCCTGCCGCCGTCAAGTGCCGTACACCGCACCGTACTATGTGACCATTTATAAAGGGACAGCGTATACTTGGTAACGGCGCCTTAACGTCTCAGGGTTACACATCCTCGCACATACCTACACACACACGCTCACCGCCAGGACGGTTCCCGCGATCCGTTCCATCTCTCGTACAAGGTCCTTTCTGCGGGTTTCAAAGTTGATATATCATTAAGGCAGGACAGTTGGTGGTTAGCAATTGTATTACAAAAAGTTTGTTCCGATATCGCACTGAGGACGACACCAGCTATCACGTCGTCTCAGCTATTTCACACAACGTAACTGCATTCCAGAACATTCTTTGGCTGTCTATCTAATCTAAAATCTAATAAATCTATCTAATCTAATATGTCATCTAATATCTACTATCGAATTGCCGTACTGTCGTACTATCGTACGCCTCACTTTGGAGTCATGGAGCTGACATTTTCCACGAACAGGGTGTAACGACTCTTGGGTCCGGAACGGGGTCCGCCGCCGCCGCCGCCGCCTGTTCCTCCTGGACCGTTCGAATAGTAGTGCCCCTAGAATCACGTGACGGCGGTTAGCACGGCGGTTGGCACGGCGGTTAGCACGGCGGTTGGCACGGTGGCATGTGGTGGTTTCAGCAGCATTTCCCCTATCCCCTATCCCTGGCTGGCCCCTTCAATGCTGCTGCTGTGGCGCCTTGCGTCTAACGGCACTTCCCGCCGCCCCGCCGCCAACGCATTTCGCGATCGAGAACAGTCGCAGTCAGCGCAGGAGTGGTCCCGACTCTCGAGTTCCTTCAAGGCCAGCTTCTTGCCAGCGAGGAGCCATGGCTTGCTGTAAACGTTGGCAGCTTGCAAAATTTTTGCTCACCAGCTCACCTTGTTGTGTCCGTAGCGGTCCATACGTGTTGTTTAGCAGAAAAGGCCTTCAGGTCGAGGAAAGGAGTTTCCACTGCCGCTGCTGCTGAGAGTGTTGCACTTGCCCAGCAGAGGATAACTTGGATGATTGGATGATTTCCTGCGCGCAAGGATAAAAATGTTCAAGCAGAAAAGGAAACAACACTGTTTATCAACATGAAGGAGATTACAGGCAGCCAAACTCTTAAGCTTGGAGCGTTGAGTCCTTTCAACGTGCGCATGTGCACAAAATTTTGTTTCATTTTGAAATGAAACAAAGCAAGAAGGGTAAGAAGGGACCGCTGTCTACATGTGTGGGCCTGAAAGGACTGGCTGCTAAGGAAAAGCGTTTGTTGGCGGCGGTGGCGACGGTTGCGGCGTTGCGTAAGTGTCAGAGGAGCAGGAGGAAGAGCGGACAGCAACCCAGGTGCGATGAGACGCGTTAATAAGGCGCGGTGAGCCTGCTGACCACAAGCACAAGCACATACAAGTGCCATATGCCATACAGACCCAACTTACAAATTGGAGGTTATGGAGCGACCGTAAAGGTTGCTTTATTGTGCGCCAGACGGGTAGTAGGTCGCAGTGCGCTTTACTGTAAAAATCGCTTTATGATTTTTAACACAGCCTTTTGAACTGAAAAATCTGATTTTTACGGAACAGTAATTTTGCTGAGCATCATCACATTTTTAAATTTGAACCGTCATCGACCCACGGGTCGTTAACACCCAAAGCGTGAACAGGAGCCAAAACGGCCACGAGAGCACGAAGAAAGAGTGAAACTCGCGATTGAGAGGATAAATAACAAGGAATTTGAAAACAGCGGAAGCTTTGCGTGTGTACGTAAGCTTTGCGTGTGTGCGTAAGCTTTGTTTTTTTTGCTTGTGTGCGACGGTGACATTTCTCCTCACCGGACCCAGGCGACGACAACGACAACGACGCGCTCGGCCACGATTGGCATCATACATCTCTTGTCCTTTGTCCGCCTTATGCCCGACAAGATCCCACAAGCAGACACCGCAGTCCGCGCACATCAACGAATTCTTTCAACTGCAACCCAAATCGCCAAGAATCAAAAACTAAACACATCCTCTCCAAAACAATAAAAGAACTGAGAACAGACAGTCGGCCGGCGGTTGCCACATAGCAATCAAAAACAGACCTCGTTCTCCATCTCTCTAATCTTTTCTTAGCGGCTTGATTCCTCCATTCTAATAGGGGTTCCAAAATAACGCCTATAGAACAGAGCGCCTCTTCCGATTTCCTTCAGCTATACCTCGTTCATCCGTCTTCAGTCCTTATTCCTCCTCGCAGCTAAACGCCCGATACGCGGAGGCTTCACCTGCGCAGAACCGCGGCCGCAGCTCCCCAACCTGCTCTGTTCCGGCACCGCATTATTTCAAATACACCAACAATTAACACAGCCGCCACAGCCGCTGTAGCCGCTGTAGCCGCCACAGCCGCCACAGCCGCCGCAGCCGCCGCAGCCTCCACAGCCGACGAACGTCGTTACTTTGTCATTTCATCACCATTGCAGCCACTGTCACGTCCATTGCCATAACCCCATAATATTTTATTGCACAGCAGTAGCACCACCAACAGCTGTAGCCAGCGCCGCCGCCGCCGCCGCCGCCGCAGGCAGTTGGCCGCGGTCAACTGGGCGCAGGGGGGGACGTTACGCACGCCCCCCTTCCCCCCTGCCACCCCCGGGTTGTGCCTCCGGGGCTCGTCCAGCCGAGCCAGGAGTCCGCATCCCCTCGCTTCCCGTACAAATCCCCCCCTCTTCCCCGCTCCCTGGGTCACTGGTACGAGCAAAAGAGGTTTCGGAACGACGTACGAACGACCGCGCCTGATGGACCACCATCACCATCATCATCACCATCACCACCACTACCGTTACCATTACCAGGAGCAGGAGCAGGAGCAGCATCCCCAGCAGCAACCATTGGGAGTGGAAAGGGGCAGCTCACTTCCATCGGAGGTAATGGAGGTGCCGGAAGGGCCGTGGACGCCGCCTGCGCGACCCGGCCGGACCGGAGACGTGGCGGCGGCGGCGGCGGCGGCGGCGTTGCCGCCGGCGTTGCCGCCGCCCCCACGAACGCACTGCCAGGAAGCGGCGTTACAACCTCCTGGTGCTGTGGTCGAGCATCGAGATGACACCGGTGGCGGTGGCGGCTGTAGCAGCCGTAGCAGCGTTATTTGGGGCGACAGCAGCAGTAGGCCGTCCAGCAACCCTGGCGGTGCGGGAGCCGCGGTGTTGCCGACGGCGACGGCGACGGAGGCGGCTGATAGGGTAGCTGGCGGAGGCGGATCCTTGGCGGCGCCGTCGACACCTCTTGCAACGCTGCGGCGGTGGGCTGTCAGGGCGGCGACGGCAGCGGCGGCGACGGCGGGTACCTCTCAAGGCGGCGGCGGCGGAGGGGCGCCTGTGCCATCGAGTGACGGCGGCAGTGACGGCGGCGGCAGCAGTGGGTCACCTCCAGCGCTACAGCTTCAGGACCTCCCTGCAGAGGTGCTGCTGCAGGTGGGCTGCCGAGCAGATGGTGGTGGTGGTGGTAAGGAGCCATGGGGGGTGATTTTGAACCGGGTTGGGAAGTCGTACGGGATCACGAGTGTCATACAGGAGATTAACGGTTAAGCCAGGTCAGCTACCTAGGAAAGGATGATTTGTTATGGTCACGGTTGTCGTTGTTGTGGTTGTACGGAAACGAAATCCCCGCTGCCGCTGCCGCGTCGACATGTAATCGTAAACCCCTAATAGTATATTGTAATAATACATATTTTTACTAACATTTAATATTTACAGAAAATATATGCAATGAAGTTATAGATTGTATACAAATGTGATTGATCTATCGATTATACACATATTTATTTATTTATTTAATCGTAAACCCCTTTCCAAACCCAACCCTAGAAAAATCCTAGGAAAACCCTAACACCTGCCCGGTCTTCCCCCGTGGGGCATCTCGTCAAGGTCTGCGAGTACCTTCCTCTGCCCACCTGCTGCGGAGCCCTGCCCGCCTCATGCCGCTGGGCCCGCGACGTGCTGTCCGGAGGGATCCGACCCACGGGTCGACTGACCCATGGGTCCGCGCCGCAGCGGTTGGCTCATTTACCCAGCAGGTCCGGCATAACGGGGGCAGCTACGGCTATTCCACCTGCGATATCAACCGCCGAGGATGCTTCCGAAATGCCGGTGGCGGCGGCGACGGTGGCGGCCGCGCCGGCAGGCCCACCCGGCGCTGCCGCCGCCGCTGGCGGCGGCCCATGGGCGACGTCGGCGGCGGCTGCAGGTGATGCGGTAGCAGGCAGGACGCCGCGGCGGCGAGTGGGTGACGTGTTGGGGGAGGCCTGGTGGCGCCGGCGGGCGTCGGAGGAGCTGCAGGTAGATCCGTACATTCGTACATGCGTGTATTGGAGCTGTACGGTGACCCCGCATATCCCCTGCGGTGCTCGCGGTGGCAGTGGGCCGACGGGTGACTGAAATGAAATGGCTGTGCCTGGCCTCATCGAGACGGGCCTGGAAGTTTCTTTTTAGTACGGCAAGTAATTGTACTGCAAAAGCACTCTTGAATCTCTTCCCCTTCCTCTCCCCCACCTTCCTCTCCCGTCCCTATCCACCCCCCCTCTCCCATGCCTTTCCTCCCCATGCTGTACCGCAACCCCCTGAACTGCCGTACCGCTCTGAAGCTCCCGGCGGCAACTCTTCGTGCAATAAAGGCGGCGGGAGTACCCTGCCGCGACGCCGTACTGGCGCGAGTACGACTGGTAGGCGCGCCGCCGGTGCGGAGTCCGTTGGCAACATCCAGCTTGCCGACGGCGCCGCCGCCGCCGCCGCATTCTTTGCATCCGTACCCGCTACAGTCGCAGCCGCGGCAACAGCCGCTTGCGGTCGACATCAGGGGCGGGAGCGATGCGAGACGAGCAGCGTTGGCGGCGGCGGCAGGAGCACCGTCTGTACGGCGCCAGGGCGCAACGGCCGGCGGTCAGTGGCGAGCGCTGCCTGGCCGCGGCGGTGGCGGCGCCGCTGGCGCGGCGGCCGCGGCCGTCGCGGCGCAATCGGGTGACTGGTACGACGAAGTTTACGAACTCATGTACGCGCTGATTGAGGAGGAGAGGGAGCGTGAGGCGGCTGCCGAGGCGGCTGGAGCGGGGGGCAGCCAAGAATTTAGGGAAGGAAGCATTCGGTACGACATTTCCAGTAGCGTCGGCGGCGTCGGCGGCGTCGGCGGCGACGAATGGCCGCCGGAGCCGTTCGAGCGGCGGTCTTCTGGACGTTCGGAGGGTGGCGGATCCACCGGTCACACCGTCCGCCGACTGGAGCTACAGCTGCTGCCGTCGCCGCCGCCGCCGCCGCCGTCGCCGCCGCCGCTAGGTCGCGGCAAGTCAATGGACCTCCGAGCTCCTGCGGGGCCGGCGGAGGCGCTAGGATTGGCGGCCGCCGGGGGCTGCGCCAGCGGTGATTTTCCGCCGCCGCTGCCCCCGCTTACAGATGCTCAAAAGCAGCAGCAGCAGCAGCAGCAGCAGCAACAGGAGACAGCGGTGGTGACGTGCGCCCTCGCCGCCAATTGCGGCGGCAGTACCCGGGTGCTGTTGGTGGGGCCCACGGGTCGGTGGTTGGTGGTTGCCAGCCACTCGGACCAGCAGAATCTGGTGCGGCTGGATCTGGAAACGGGCAGTTTGGAGGAACTGAATGGTACGACAGAGCGCCTCGCACCCCTTTTTAAAACGTCGTCAGTAATGCATTTCTCCCGTACATGCCCCGTGTGTTCGGCACCACGTGTGTATGTATTATTCCACTCATCCTAAAACCCTAAAACCCTAAAACCCTACTTACGACGCCTGTTTAGGTCACACTCGCGGTGTACGGGACATTGCGGCGGACAGCGATGCGGGCTTGCTGGCCAGTGCGGGCTGGGACAACCGCCTCATCGTCTGGGAGTTACAAGACTGCTCCATCAGGCACTTCATTCATATCCCCAATGTGATGGGCGGCTACGGCTACATCCGCTTTGTGGCAGTGGGGGGAGGGAAGGTGGCTGTAGCGCAGGTGAGACCCCGGATTATGTTAGGGCTGGTTTTGGATTTTTCCATAAGAGTTGGTTTCCAGCAGCGGTTTTAGCAACGGTTTTAGCAACGGTTTTAGCAGCGGTTTTAGCAGCGGTTTTAGGAAGTTTTAAATTGGCGGGAAAGGCTCTTAGAGGAAGTATGGATGGTGGGAATTGAAAAGTTATTGTAGCTCGGGCCCAGTGGGTTTTAGAGGATTTGGGTTTCTGGGTTGAAAGTGGTTTTAGTGGTTTTAGTGGTTTTAGGGCGGTATGCCATTTTCCCCCCCTTCTCTCCCGCCGCCAATGCCGCCGCCAGGCCGGCGGAAAACTTTACTCCAGCTCCCGTCACCCCGCTCTCTTCTCACGTCAACTTTTATTACTTTTTTCGCCGCTTTTACACCTACTTTTACTGTTTTACGGCTTGGATCTACTGCTCTTCTTCCGCTCTTGTTTTAGTCTTGGCGGCGAGGTAGGTAGGTAGGTTTCCGATATCGTCATCACTAGATCACCCCCAGGTCGCCGCACTTCACAACCGCCGACTGGTTAGTTATGCTTTCTTTACACCTGCCGCAGCAGTCTCTTTCCCTTGGCATCAGTCAGCTTCACTCGCTCGTGGTTCGTCTTTCCCCTCACTACTACTTTTCTACACCTACTTCTTTACGGATTGGCTATACTATTCAGCTTTTTAATTCTGGCGGCTTAGGTAGGTAGGATTTCCGACATCTACGTCATTTCGTCATCCCGAGGTCACAGTCGTCACAGTCGCCACGGACGCCTTTCGGTCAGTTTTTACGTTTGCTACTATCTTGCCCTGGCAGCAGCTTCAATCGTGTGTGGTTCGTCTTTCCCCTCTCTCCCGCACTCGGCACTTGGAGGATTTTTTTATGTAATTCGGTCGTTTTGCGGTGTACGGTTTTGATGTGCAGGTTCACGCGCTCATGGTGTACGACGCTGAGTCAGGGGACGTGTACGACGTCATCATGGAGGACAGGTAGGGTGCAGTACGATGGTGTGATGGAATGTATTTTGGGGACATGGAAGTGGGGGAAGGTTTATATAGTGGGGGAAGTTGTTTTGTTTAATCAATCTCACCGAACCTTTCCTCCGCCAACTTACCAGCCCCACACTCTACACGCTGCCTCTACCCTGCCCTCTCATACCCTCCTGCACCCCACCCACCCGCCACCCCCCTTCTTGCCAACCTGATGTGAGACACGTGTGTTGTATCAACAGGTGGGGGGCTGGCCGGCCCGACCAACAGCGCTTTCCGGACAGCCTCAGCATGCAATACGTACGGGCCATAAAGATTACACCAAACGTAAGTGTACGGCAGTGTACGGCACGTACGGGAGAAGTATGCAGGAAATGACTTGGCTGCCATTACGTCTTATTTTCCGGGCATTTTCCACCCTGGAAAGCTCTTGATGCTCACCTACTTCTCTTAAAGCCTTGGATGGCACATGCCTGGGGCACTCGCAGTTGCCGTACCTTGTAGTACAAGAAAATATATATTTACCTAAACCGCTGCCGCGAACCCAATCCTGGTGCAAATCCCTCTCCATCCCTCTCCACCCCGCTCCATCCCTCTCACCCCCCCGGCCATCACCTCAGGGCCGTTGGCTCATTCTAGCTACATCTGCCCCGCCAGCTGATAGGTACGGTTGTACGGTGTACGGCATTCGTATAATCGCATTACCACCCGGAGCCACGTACCCGCTCAGGCCGCATTCTTCGCCGGGGTTGCGAACCAACCTCAGAGAGTGCTCTACGCTGACGTATGACGGGTTTCTTCCGTACAAGAGACCCTTCCCATTTCCGTACAAAAATATCTTCCGTCCAGTCCTTCGTATGTGTGATACAGTTGGATCTTTCGTACACTGTACAGTGGTGGCCACTTTCCGTACACTCACCCTGGGCCGTTGCTCCTCCCCAATATGCACTCCCCCTCCCGAACACACACACACACACACACACACACACACACACACGCGCGCGCGCCCTTCCGCGGGAGAGAGAGAGCTTAGGCGTCTTCCCGCCGGGGCTGGGCAGCAGCCCCTCTGTGGCCAGTGTCATCAGGCCCGGTCAGATACTTGTAACCTTTACACACACATACGCACACATACACACAAAACGCACGCATATACATACATTATACAAAATCAAGGACACGCACTGCTCCCTACGTCCTAACTCCACATTGACTGCATAACTGGGTTTTCCGCCGGGGGGAGGAGGTGCAGATCATCGGCCATTTTCCCACGTATTAGGCGACGCGTTCTCTCTTCCCTAGGCTTGGGTTTGGGTTTTAGAAGCACACATCTCTCTCACACACACCCAGACACTCGCACTCACACTCACAGACGTGTGCTCGTGTTGGTGATATGTAGGAGTTGTCACATGGATAACGGCATGGCAGCGCTATTTGATATTTGGTATTTGGTATTTCCGCGACACGACAATCCCCCCTCCGGCCTCGAATCATCCCTTCCCACGTCCCCTCCCCCCTCCGCCGCCTCTTTCCCCTTTTCCCCTTTGCCTGTGTTTCCCTGATTCCTTCCTTGCACGTGATCCCCCGACCCATGCCCTTGTCAGGTATCACGTGTACGACTTGCAAGTTCGTGCCTTCTCCACCTCACTCGTGCACCCGGCGGCATCCGCCTTCCGGCTGCCCCTGGACGAGGTGGGGGGGGGAACGTGTGTGCGTATGTATGTATGTATGTATGACGTGGATTACACAGTGGGCTCAAAAGCCTCAGGGGGCCCAGGGCCGAAACACAGCGGGGGGGCGCGGATGCACACACGGCCGTCTCGTGCATCCCGCCCACACCCCGGTCAGACCGGGTACGAGGGGTACGACGGCCGGCACTAAGCAGCAGCGTTCCCCACCTACCGGGGGGGGCTAGCGCTACAGCTAAACGGGTTGTAGGTCACCCAACAAAAACTGCGGTGGGTAGGCCTGCCGTGGTGGTGGTGCCAATGGCCGACCAGGATTCCTTGTAGATGTCGGCTGGGATGAGGTCCCACCCCGGGGCCCTGCCTGGCTGGCTGGCTGGCTCTCTTCCTGAGCAGTGTCCCCCCCGGGTAGCCCCCTCGGTGGCCCCTCGGTGGCCGCAATCGTTTTGGACTCCAGCTGTTCATCTGCCTGTGCGGGTGTTGAGATGTTGGCAGCCGCCAGGGAGGCTGTATGTATGTACGTATGTATATATGTATGTTGTTACAGGGTGGTTAAGCTTCACCAGCGGCCCTCTTTCCCGAGGCAGTTCCCTGCTCTCCCCTGCGAGAGGGGCACCTAATCCGTTCACCCCATCCAATTTCAGAGCCTGTATGTATGTACGCATGTATATATGTGTATGTATATATGTGTGTGTTACACGGTTGGGGGCGCGTGACCCTATACTCAAGTAGAACTTCCCAAACTTTAGCATAAGGCCCAAGGTCAAGAGAGCTGAACGCCTAAAAGCCACGGAGAAAAAGGGGAGGACACACCGCACTATCAGCCCAGACTAGCGCCCAAAGGGGGGATAACACTGAGTTAAGGTGAGCGCACATATGTTCCAACATCCTCGCCAGATGTGCTGGTTCCCATTTCATGGCCTCCAACATGCTCCAACATGCTCTGTTGATGATCGATTCTGTATACATGTATACATGCATACAGTATACATCGATACACAAATACAGTATGTATACATACATAGTTACATATATACATACATACACGCGCGCGCAGGCACAGCCTATCTTCTGCCCGCTTCAAGGTGGTCTCCTGGTCACCGCACAAAGGGGCCCGATGGCGATGACGGCGGCGCCGGCAACCGCAGTAGCAGCAACAGCAACAGGAGCAACACGGGGCGCCCAACGACAGCAGCAAGCTGGCGGCAGCAGTAGCTTTCACAGTACGACATGCAGTACCGCCGCTACATCCTTGCCTCCTCTCCTCGTGTGGGACCTTGCACTGGGCAAGCGAGTGGCTGAGCTGCAGGCAAGTAAGATGTGACATGGCACGACTGCTGCTGCTGCTACTGCTACTGTTTAATAGTGCTGCTGCTTTAGAGCTGTAGCTATAGCTACTGATGCTGAAAAACAAGGGAAGATGGGAGCTCATGGTTTTAGGGTTTTAAGGTTTTAAGGTTGGGTTTCTGTACAGATCTATATCGGCACACACAAACGACTACATGCATACATACATGCATACGTGTCCAGGGGAGGTAGGATAAAGCCAATTCCGCCACGGGTCGAACAGCCATCCTCGATACTACCGGTGAGGAGCTGCTCCTTCCCGGTCGGTCACCCAGGAGGCAGCAGACCTCCGCCTCCACCTCCACCTCCCTCGCAAACGTAAGGTGGGGACCCCTCACAATGGCTCAGCAGTCCACTACGACAAATCAATGTACGGCAGTACATACGGAAAAGAACTTGGAAAATACATTTGGCGGCACTCAAGCACCTTCAGCGTTTATCTCCACACCGGCACCAACCTCTCTTGTACCGTCCTCCGGAACCTGTGGCACACTTGGCTCGTAACTGCGATATGACGATAGAGCAAAAAACCTTTTTAGTTTTCCTTGCTTTTTTATTCACACGCTAGATAAGGCCTACATTGTTTCCTGGGTTGGTTGGGTCTCTCTCGCGCTGAGGCGGGGCGGGGCCGGGAGCGAATGGCTTGCTATTCTGGAAGGCGCCAGATAGCCCCATGACGGCACTTTTTTCGGCAGGGGGGATGCGTTACAAAAGGCGGGGAGTAAAGCACGTGTGTTTTGCCGTCCCACGTAGGTGACCTTGAGTGGCGGCTTTGGCGGCTTAAGCTCCACGGTGCCGTACACATCACCAGTGTCGGCCCACAGCCACTCCTCTATGGCCGCAGCTGAACACCCCGCCGCCGCCGCCGCCACCGCCGCCACCGCCGCCGCGGCCAACACGGCAATAGCGACAGCGCCACCATCACCACTATCCTTCTCGCCTACATACCATCGATTGTCGGCAGCGCTGCGTACGGCATCCGTACGGCAATTTCTCAACATGGCGGCGTCCGCCGATGGCACCCGGCTGTACCTTCTGGACAGCGCCCACCAGTTCTGGATTCTGGATCTCGCGGCGTCACAGGCCCTGGTGGCAGTGATGACGTCATCAACGCCCGCCGTACATCCGCACGACATCACCGACACGGGAAACTGCATCGGCGGCGGCGGCAGCAGTAGTACGTGTACGACTACTGCGGCGATGGCGGCGCCGCTGCCGCTGCCATTCGTGCCGAAAAGCAGCAAGCTGGCGCGGCGGCAGCAGCACGTAATGCAGGTATGTATGTATGTATGTATGTCGGTACGCATGTATGCATGTATGTAGTTCTGTAGGTCTGTGTACCTCTGATCCAAGGGTACCACGCATTACCGCATCGCCTACCCCCCCCATTATGATGCGGGTAAACGTACATACATACATACAGGCTTTCATTGACCTTGAGACTTCTACCCAACGCCCTCCTCTCTCAGCTTCTATCCCCTTCCACCCCCTCACCCGCCCACCGCACCCGCATTGCAGCTCCTCACATGCAACGGCGAACCGTGCAAACGAACTGCAGCCGCCGCCGCCGCGGCGGTAGGCTCGCAAATAGCTTCTATGCCGTACGTGTACGACTGGCCTTACGGCCAGGGCGGCAGTCCCGGCAAGTCACGCTTGGAGTGGCTGGTCGCCGCGACCTCCAGAGTGGATGAAGCTCCCCATGAGGTCCTGTACGGCATTTGTACGGATGCTCCTGTCGGCGGCGGGAGTCACCAGTCGGGGGCTTGGTTTTGGAGCGATGACGCGCATTGGATGGTGATGCATCCGGAGGTGGATGGTGAAGTGCCGGGGAACAGGGTGAATAATGGAGGAGAAGGAACAGCCCAAAAGGAGGAGGAGGAGGTGGAGGTGGGGGTGGGGGAGGGGGTGGAGGACGTATGCAACACGGCGGGGGTTCCGTGCGGGCTTGCTGGTACGAGTTCCGGTGCGGGCTCTGGGCCCCCCGCCAATGCGGCCTTCCGCCTGGGGTCTGGCGTCTTGCGCGGTATGGGCCTGGATTTGGAATCCAACCCGCTTTGGGTTTGGAGGGAGGTACGGCGGGTGGGGGGCTAGGAGATATGCGGCGACGTGGGGAGATTTCCCGGCTGCCTGACACACCCACCCACCCACCTACCCACATCATCCTGGACACCCTCTCCTCGCGCACAAATATCTTCTTCGTGGGGGAGTTGTGTAATGAAATCGGGCAGAACAGGCCAGCAAGGCCAATAATAGGTGGTCTGCTGCTGGGAAGCAAGGGGCGCGTGGGAAGTACGTGGCGTTGCGTACCTAAATAGGCTTGGCTAAGGGCCACACAAAGAAAGGCTGCCAGGATTTGGAGGGCCGACAGCAGATAAGAGGGTTATGAAAGGAGTCGCGCGCGATGTGACGATGCGAAACGTATTTGTACATATATGTGCGTCAGCTGCTGGGCATCAGCTAGGCAAGGAGAGAGAGAGAGAGGGGGAGGAATTATGAATGAATGCGCGGAACGATCATGAAATGGAGCTGCTCTGGATATCGCGCAACTGTAATGGGAGTTCACTGGAGTGCAGAGCACAAGAAAAAGCGGTCCCAAGCGACGATGGTCGGATCGTTTGAGTGGCGCGTTCCGGTCGTTTCCGGTCAAGGTGTTCAAAAGATGATTGAGAGCGTAGACTGAGAGCGTGAAAGCTTGGCAGCCACGCGGAAGATGGGGAGGACGAAAGGGTCGCAAGCGGTCGAGTGTGTGCCCGCTTTTGGTTCGAACGCAGAGGTTTTGGTACAGCAGGAGGTGGTCCGTTTTTCTAGCAACGCTGTGATGGTGGGCCAGTCCTGCACGCGGACGCGCGTAAACGCGTCGATTTCATCCGTATTTTTGAGGTACACGCGTTCGGATGGATAGGAGGAAGGTCCGTGAAGAGCGGCTGGTGTACAGTTCCGCAACCGTTCTATGCGCTTAGACGTGGCATCGACATCGCAAGCAGGGTTGCTCCTGTAGTCAGCGTTTTTGATGTGTCATTCGGTTGGTTGAATCGTTGTAGTTACAAGCACGTGAGACATATGTGACTGATGACCTGTCGGGGCTGTTGATGGTGGGCAGAGGCTCGACCCAATTGGCGCTGGATGCAAGGAGGAAAGTTTATGCGCAAGTGGAAGTTCATCAGATTCAAATATATATAGCGTCTTGGGGTCTGAAGATTTCCATTCTCGCAATACTGGTTGTATGTTGAGGTGGATATGACATGAGAAATACCTTGATGACGTCCTGTCCAGAAAAGGTGGTACAAGTGGAAAGCATCTGATGAACCTTGTATGCAGCTTAGTCACATGGGCGGGCATCGTAGATGGGCTTCAGGTCAAGTCGAACAAAAAAGGCGCAAGTTTGCATAATAGAAACGGTGCATGACTACACCGTCTTTGAGACCGCATCCATAACTGCTCTTACCTCAGTGCCTTCACATAATCAGCCAGCATCCAAGGAAATTTTGCAAGGAAAAGTGCATGCCGTACATCACCTAGCCCACTACCCATGTGGGTGCACGCCATCCCCCATGTTATCATCAGGTCGTTACCAAAATTCAGCTGTTGTTGAAACGGAGCATGAAGTGTTAGCTTTACCTCTCTTACAAATCTGTCAGGTTCACGGACAGTACTACTTACCCTGAGGTTCCCGGCTGACACTTTTGAAAATAGCATAAAATGAGCGACTCGTTAGATTTTGGTCTTGGCGATTCACAATACGTGTTTACAGACCGAGAGCTTAACGAGCTATTGGGGGTCATTGAGCAGAAGGCGGCTGGAGCTGAGGCCGAGCTGGACGTGCTGGACTTCTTCCGAACGGAGGGAAAGGAGCCATTGGCATTGCAAGTAAGGTCCAAGGATGGGGTTGACGCATGACCTTGGTTTCCGAGACTGACTGGACTCTCGCGTAAGATAGTTGTATTGACTCAACGGCTACATCCTTCTTTTCCTCTGCAGTTTCAACCACGCTCGCACAAGGACGACGCCTTAGAGCAAAGCGTAACTACAACTGTCAAGCAAGAGGACCTTCCGGTGTCGGCGCTTTCTTCAGCACTGGCATCCCCTGTCGAGACGCCTGCGCTCCAGCAGAGCGGACAAGATCAACCGTACTTTTCAAGTAACGCAGCAGAGATATCCATCCTTCCAATGCCGACCGGGGCATCACTCCATGCGTTTGCTTTGCCGGGGACCATGGTTGGCGCTGGCGCACATTCCTTTGTTTCATCGCTGGTAGCACCGCCCCCAGTGGCTCCTACGCAAGCCCAGCTTACTCAGCCGCAACCGCTTGCACAGCTGCTCCCACTGGCCGCGGCTCCCTTACAATTGGCAAGGCTCCCATCGTCTGCTGTTAACAGCAGAGGTGCGCACAAATAGCTACTTTTCACTTGGCCATCATGGATTGGCGCAAAAACACCTTAGTTTTTAGTTCATCGTGATGTCAGCATTACGAACGGCGGCCACAGGCCCCGTTATATAATAATTAAGAGACAGAGGACGCCTGCGTCTGTCGGACGCATGCCCCTGCAGGGCGGGTTTGTAAACTTATGCAAAGATTTTGCAAAGGGCCACGGCGGGTGGGTTCTTAAGATCTATTTTGCCACCATCGCCAGGCATTTTGCACGGTAACGATGCTTCGCCTAACTTGGCATCTAGGGACCTGGTTACTTGCTTACCACACGTGTTCCTCTCTATGGCCCCCTCCTTCCCTGTAGGCGCTGTCAGCAGAGTTTTTTGTTTTTTCGCATTCCCATCCCTCATGCTGCGCCGTACATATCGACCAGCCACCCAAAAGCCCTTTTCCTATGAAAACGAAGTCCGTTCCCCTCTGCGCGCGGAACCCACATGCCCTCCTTATCCAAGTTACGAGCTCCGCACGAATGCGGGGGTGTCCGTCAAAGCCAGGGGGCCATGGACTATATCTTGACAGTTAATTCCGCCGTACAAACTGAAAGTCGAAGACGGTTTGGGTCCTGCCATGTGGACCCTTCCTCATTCAGTCATCCGACATCCATAGAGACAGATCAGCCAATACAGCATGCGAAACGTAGTCCATCAACTAGACCTCATCTCCACACCTCAGTAGCTAGCCAAAACTTCTTACTCCCGACCAATGTCGGAGATCTGCCCAGGAATTGAACTCAGGATCTTAAGCTGCTAAATGCAGTGCTGTCACCGGGCCAAAACTTCCTCAAATTCCCTTCAGGGTCCGTCCCCCAACCTTCAGTCGTGGAGGTCAAGGGCCAGATCAGCCATTCGACGGTGGAGAAGCAGCGGCGAGACCGCATCAACTCATTAATAGACGAGGTACGTGGGATGTTGCGACGCGCATCTTGAGCGCAGTCTCGGGGTTGCAGGGGTTCAGGCCAGCGTCTGTTGCCAATTCAAAGTGTGCTTGATGTTCTGTCCGCTTGCATGTGCGCCCACCTGCGTGTGCCTGCCTGCCCTGCCCTGCCGCACAGCTGCGGGAGCTGGTCCCCCCACAGTCGCGCTCAAACAACAACGGCGCAACGGGGGAGGGCCTGGAGGCACGACGTCCCAAACATGTTGTGCTGGCGGATACAATTCAGCTTCTGAAGCACTTGCAGCAAAAGGTATGGCAGCTGACGTGAAGGGCACAAGCGAAGTGTGGCCTAGCTCTGTGGGTGTGCGCTACGGGCGCCATAAAAATGGAATACAGGCCTGCAGCACTTTTGATGGCCTGTCCTTCGTACTAAAACTAAATTTTATTCGCCGAGGCACGGGGGGGAGTTCGACAGGCGTCGTGACAGCTCCCGCCGCCTGCTTGGCCTGGCTCTGCTTCGACGCAACCCCTATGCTCGTGCATGTCCTCCTTGTCGTGCCCTGGCGTAGCTCCAAGTCACGACGGTAGATCAGCTCGCCTACAACCACGTCAATGGCGTCAAGAACCAGGAGGACGATACAGCCAACTCGGAGGGGAAGAGCAAAGGCTCGTCCAGGTGGGAGATGGGAATCTCGTGGCCGAGAGCTGTCCGCCGCCATTCTGCCGTAATGCACGATGATGAATATGGTTCGGAGGAGTGTTTAGGGCTTAGGCTAGGATGTATGGGCATGGATGGCTGTCATGGATGCAGTGCTTCTCCCTCCGCTTCTTGGCCCGATCTGTGTTTGTTGGCCTTGAAACACTTGTCTCGGCCCTACCTAATATCCAGTGGGACTCGCCGCTTGGTGTCATGCAGCCAAGACGATGTGGATGTGCTGGGAGCGCCGCAGATGCCCCACGTGAGTGACAGGTGGAATGCAGGGGCCCCAGGTCTGGGCATAAGCCGCCGCAGCGCAGCAGCAGCAGTGCGTGGTCTATCATGGGAGGGCAACGTGCTTGCAGTGCATGTACACATGTATATACGCGGGCGCGCGCGCGTTGGCGCCAGTTGTTGCTGCGGCCATTCATCACTCTGCGCGGGTCCCGTTCCGCTGCCGGTGTTGGAAAGGCCCACAGAAGCCGTGACTGGGTGCTCGCCACACATCTTCCTACCATCACAAGCATCTACACCCTCCACCATGTCGCCCGCAGATTCCCTGCCAGATGACTCAGAACGCGGGGGTTACGGTGGAGCGGGGCCCGGACTGCTATTATGTTCAGGTGATAGGGGGCTTAGGTCAGCAAGTGGTGGTGGAAGAGCGCCCTCGGAGGAATGGGGTTGGGTCGGAATCCATCCGCGCTGTAGATGGCCGTTGCATTCGTCTGATTTGGGTTTTAAGCCGCATGTATTTTGGGGTGTTGAGGACGACAGATTCGGACAGAGTCCTCTGGAATCCGGAAGGAGGGAGGGCTTGGATTTGTTGGGGTCAAAACCCCGCATGCGTGACATATGCGCCATGTATAGGATATGCGTGCGGTGCTGTCCTTTTTCATAGTCGCGTTCCGCGCTGTTCGGCTCATCCCCTGGGTTCGGGGGTTTGCTGCTCACTTTCCGTTCTGACCGAGCCCACATCGCCGGCGGGAGGGATGTTCCGGGTGAGGGAGGCTTATAGGGTTTTACCTGTCGGGTTTTTGGGTCGCCATCTCATCTTTCACGTCTCCTTGGCTCTCCGTGGCTTCCCTGTGCTCCTGCGTGCGTTTGCAAACCGTACACAGGTCAAGTGCCGTGATCGCAAGGGCCTGCTCTCCGACATCATCAACGCGCTGAGGCAACTGCCGCTGGAGGTGAAAGGGGGGAGGAGAGAAAGAGGGTTCTCGATTGCGTTGGGGCCGGTGGTGTGTGATGTGATGTGATGTGGGCTCCGTCGGCTGTGGGCTTCGCCGAACCGTACTGAGAATGTGGTGTTGCTAATTGTGATGTTGGTGTGTGTTGGTGACGATGCGGAGGTTTCAAGAGGTAGTTGCTCTGCAGCTCCCGCCGACAATATCTGTGCTGGGCGTGAAGGGCCAAGTTTTTTGTACACGTGGGGCCTCGCATAGGTCTCAGGCTGTCGCTGCTTTTTTTGCAGCAGTTGCTTCGTAACACCTCGCCTGGCCGCCCCGCCTCTGGTGGGACGGCGGCTCTAGCCTGGAGGTGCGGTCATACATACAGTTCGAGGCATTTCTCAGGCCTAAATTTGGTCTGCTGTCCACCTGCCTGCTGCCTCTGCCTCCCGGTACATTAAAGCGTATGGTACACTACAGCTTGCTAACCTTCTGCTGCTGGCTTTACTAACTGTCGGGCGATGCGGTGTGATGCGATGGCGCAGATCCGCACCGCTGCCGTCACGACGACCAACGGCACGGTGCGGGACGTGTTCGAGGTGAAGCTGGACGACGCCTCGTTGACGCCTGAGGACGTGCAGAACCTAGTGCATGATGCCCTATTCCAGCAGCATGTCGTGGCGTACGACACGTACGCTGGCAAACGGCCGCGAGTCTAAGCGATGCCCCTTTTCGGGAAAGGTCTGCTGGCCCGCGGCGCTGTGCACCGCCCTATATGTCTTCCACCCCCCAAGGATACGGTGCCTTCATTTTTTTCTGCAATGCAACCCGTGGGAGCGCCGACACGAGGACGAGGTAGGGAAGGCGCTTTTTGCAGGTTGCAAGGCGATGGCCGCGGGGAACGGCCGCACCAGCGTTGCACGCCTGCTCCTCGTAACCTGGGTTGGCTTTTATTGGTTGAGATGGAAGAGTAAATGCATAAAGGCGCATGACTTGTGGCGCAATAGGTGGGCCCTTCGCCTAGCATGTTGTGGCGGTGCTGGATGTCGGAGAGGAGAGGGCTGCAGGCGCCTTCAATCCCTCGGCATGTTCCAGGATGGTGGTTGTAGAAGAGAAGACGACGAAGAAAGAAATGAAAAAACAAGCAACGAGAGCAGGGCGGGAGGAAGGAGAAGGCGAGGAGGAATGTGATACGTGCTTTGTTATGCAGGTCTTTACCCAGGGCAAGAAGACTGGGTTGCCTCGGCGCAGCAGCAGGCCTGAGGAGCAAATTGAAAGCCGCGGTGTTGGGACGTGGCGTTGGAGTCGCCCCTCAAAGGCGATAAGGCTTTTTCGTTTTGTGTGGTTATCGCTTGTTGTGTTGATGTTGTGATGGTTGTAGGATTATAAAAGCGGCCGTAGCCAGGCTGTTTGTGGCTCGGCATACAAACGGCCGGAGTACACCTTGTCTTTTTGCCCCGGCGTCGGTGCGCGTTGTCGACCCACCTTCGCAATCAGTCGACGGCCATCAGGCCTGAATTCCGAGAAGGGTTCCAAGAGAGGCTCGGCCCGTGTCTGTGTTTCCTTTTCTGTTATCGGCAACTGAGCGGCTGTTCGCCTGCAACCATTATGTAGCCAACATGGAGATCGACGTCCTGATGTCGTAATGGCGCCTTGTCGTAAACGTCTCGCGTCGTCCTCCGAATGGCGCCTTGGGCCCATGGGTCACCTGTCCGTGTCCCAAATTGGTTACTGTTGCCTTGCGTTGTGTTGCGATGGGTGAACGGGGCCGACGGGGCATGTTTGAACACAGGCGAGTTTTTCGTCTTTGCAACGACAACTAAGCATTTTCATGAAAGTTAAGTACAAAGCCCAGGTTAGTGAGGGTGGATAGGTGGATGGGACCGTTCCGGGTTGGGCACATGCGCACACGCACGTGAACAGGCGACGTTGACCCACGATGCAGATCGTTCACTCCGGGGGCCTGGCAGCTGCCAGCTGCCGGCTCACGAACCCACCTGTGTCATCCTACTACCTACTACCATAGCGGGGCATTGCTGCCACCCCATTTCACGCTTACGGCTGGGAAGGCGATATTGGATGGGGAGTTTGTGGAGCCTCGTATTGAGCTCCTCCCGAGGGTGTGATGGCAGCAGGGCCCTCTGCATTGCGCGTATGCCAGCCAGTCAACAACAATGCTTCCTGGCTGGCAGGCCACTTGAAATAGTGTTCCGACCTGTCAAATGTGAAACTTTGAGGTTGGTGTTGTGCGCTGCTTGCGGTGGCTGCGGTGACATGACATCGTTGCAGCGCTGCGCGTCATGTGTGTGTGTGTATCGCGCATGCACCGCGCGACATTGTTTTCAGCATACCAGGCCTTGTTGACTTATTCGACTCGCACTTTCTTAATGATGAACCTTTTGTTGACCAGGTGGTTTTCCTTTGGGTGGTCAGAGGCGCCGGCGGCGGGGATGGGGAGGGGAAGGGGAAGGGGGGAAGCGGTTTAATGTGGCCCCTCTAAGCCTTGGCATCGTTTCCGCGCCGGGTTACGCCTTTGCGGCTGCAGCTGCAGCTGCTAGGTGTATCCACCGAGCAGCTGCAGAAGCAGCCCTATTGGCGGTTTTGACAGGGCTGTGGGCAGGAGGGAACTTCGCTACGGGCGCTGTCCAAGGCACAACCGCGTTCTTTGCAGCACATTTCAGTATCTCTTCTGTTTGCAGCTGTGCTGGCGTCCCCCCACTCCCCCGGATGTCCGCAAGGGGCCCTCCGCACGGGGTCCTCGGTTTTCCTCCTGTTGTTGCGTCTATCCCGGTGGGTGTGAAAGTCCGTCTGGAGACCCTGGTGCAGTGTGTGCGCGGGCGTCCCGATTATTGAGTTATGGCGCGCCGCCGTTGTTCATGTTGTCGCAGTTGCTTCCGTTGAATGACCAGACAGCGCAAGGCATATCAATGCGAGTGCGCAAAGCCATACACAAATGTGCATGGAACGATTGCGACTACTTTGACTTCTCATGTGGGTCCCACTCCTGACTTACTTAGGCAGTTTGAGATTGAGAAGGGAGAAGGCGCTAGAACCTACAGGAAAGGGAGTGGAAGCAAGGTGGCCCAGGAGAATGCATAGAGAAGAAAAAGTAATTGGGCGTTGCGGTCTGCTGTGGGGGACTTGTCGTGCTCCCGTCCACCAGCAGTTGTCAGCAGCTTTTATGAGCTTGTGCATGTATGTCTCTCTGCATGTGGATGTGTATGCTGCCGGCATCGAGTATAGGATCCGGCCATCTTGTCGTCACTCGTCACCACCCGGGACGTCCGGGGGTCGCTAGCTGTGGTGCCGCCCTTTTGTGCCCGTGCCTTTTGTGCGCGTGCTTCACCTGGCTCTTACAGCAGTTTTGATGTTTTCCGATTTTCGGCAGATGCATGGTTTTGCCCTGCAGGTAAGCACGAAGAAGTGTGCAGGTGGGAGGGAGTCAGAATGGATCAAGGTGTGGACAGTACCGTCAGAGTTACGGGCTCCATGGATTCGGGAAGTAAAAGTCTTTGTCTTTTGTGGGTCTGGGTCTATGTCTCGTCGCTCAGAGGGAGGTGGGCACGGTCCTTTATGATGTTATCTCCAAGTTGATGCAACAGATGTGGGGGCAGCGGTGGGAATGTGGCGAGAAGCTCTTTGTGCAGCTGCTGTTGTGGCTGCATGCTCATTGCCTGTCTTGCATACGACTTGTTTTGAGATTTAAAAAAGCCATCCTCTCTTTGAGGTTTACGGTTTAGTCATATGGAGTCAAAAGAAGGGAGAGATATTGTTGCTCAGCGCGTGCTGCTGCCTCGCGCTTGATGCTGCAGGCTTATGGTATGGCCTTGTGCGAATGCTAGTTTGAGCTGTTTTGCGTGCGGAAGCGGCTGTTGTCCGCCGCCTCTGCCGCCCGCTATATTTACCCGTTTGTTTGTTGGAGGGAGGAGCTGGTGGGGTAACGGATGGTGGAGCTGCGGATCAGCTTCTTGGACAACAGGTTAACCGAGACCCCCTAGTGTCCCGTGTATTGGGTATTGGCAACCGTACTAGTGCAGCGCGATGGAACGATGCTGTGGCTTGGAGGAGGCTGCATGGCCGGGTATGTGCTGCACAGCGGTGACAGCGCAGGGCAAACTGCGAAGGAGGGGTTATGTGGTGGGTGGCGGTTGGATGGGTGTGGGCAACAAGTCGGGGGTAAAATGGGTTCCCCCGTGCAGGAGAGTTTGCGGTGGAGAGATGCACCCCGCATCGTATCATCTAGGGATTGCCATGTCTCGGTTTTTCATGCTCGTCTTGAATTCAAGGCGGCGGATGGCGTTTTGGCGGCGCCATTCAAGACGCAACGTATACAATGATGGTACCATACGATAATGATACGAAATACAAAGATCCAGGGTCGTAGCCCCCCGGCTGGCTGCTCGACCCGTAGCGTTTCCATTTTCCGTTCTAGTACTGAAGCGCTTTCATGTGGGTGGATGTCAGGCTGGCGCCAAAGCAAAACGCCTCAAGGTTCGTAACCTCTTGGCGCTACTACTGGTTGGAGACCGGCCCTGGAGAGGGTGTTTTGTCTCGCACTAATCTTTGGTGGTGTTTCATATACCTACCTAGCTACGTAGGGTATAGTGTTTTTTGAGCTGGTAGCTATGTGAATAGTAGCAATACAGGTGGCGCAAAGGACACGCGTTGTGGTTTGCTGAGTTTCTCCCTGGGCGCCATGCATCGCGCGCGCAGGGGGATTGACTTGTGGTTTATGGACTGGCTAGGCAGACAGGCGTGGTAGCGGCTAAGTACTGGAGACGTGGGCGGCGGAAGCGGGCTGCCTGGCCTCGAGAACAAATGGGTGGCTGTGCAGCGACGCTGTGGCAGAGGGGCGGCCCGTCAGGTCGATTCCTGCCGGAGCAGCTCATGCAGCTGCTCGGCGTCTTGCATGGATTTTGCATAGCGCCACCGGTGCGCGTGGTACCGTTTTCCATATATATGCACACAGGTCAAATAAGCCACGTTGTGTGGCACAGGCGTCCACTCGGACGCGTGCGCGTATGTTGTGTGCACGTGCGTATAAGCTTGTCGCCACGCGACACCGAGGCCGCCCCACCTGTGCGCTATGTCCCGACCGTGGCACGCTTGTGGCCCCCGCAGCCCCGCCCTTCTCCCTTCCATTCCCAACTCGCCATCTCGCTCTGGTTGTGTTTTTCTTTTCCCGATTCATATAATTTCATGTGCAGGCCGGGGCCTGACACCACGGTTGAAAACAGGGCGGCGTGGGGTGTTGGGTATTGGGCACCGCCCCCATGCCCCGTGCATTTTAAATGCTACCCATACAGTTGAGGTCTCAGTTACGCTATATAGAAAGCGCAGGAGTCGTTTTCCCGATAGGTGGTTGCGTTGTTTTCGCTCGATACATATAGGCAAATATATTCATACAAATCTCGTGTGCGTGCGTGCGCATTTAGGCGCCTGCGCCGCTGGGGGTTACACAAGAACTTTCACTTGCCAGTTGGACAAGGGCTGAGGTTGAAGGGTTTGTTGTCCCCTTTCGCATGGCGGTCTTTGCCAAGTGTTCGTTGGGTCTGCATGGCAGCCTTGTTTGTTGGGGTTTGTCGTGGGTCCGGCTCACAGTACGACAGCGCATCGACAGATGACGGGTGCGGGGGTTAACTTTTGCCGCCTGGAGCGCACGGGAGGGGGGCTGCATTATGGTTTACGAGCTTTATGTGGTGCATCATCGTAATACGTT